GTGGATAATATTAAAATGGATATTAGAATGATAGGATGGGGTGGTATAGAGTGGATTGATCTGGCTCAGGACNAACCTCATCGGGACAATGGGATATTAGTGGGACTGGAAAAAGGAAAGAGCCCACAAGGAAGACCAAGACGTAGGTGGGTGGATAATATTGAATGGATATTAGAATGATAGAATGGGGTGGTAGAGAGTGGATTGATCTGGCTCAGGATAGGGACCAGTGGTGGGCCTTGTGAGCACGGTAATAAACCTTCGGGGTCCATAAAATGCTGTTAAGTTTTTGAGTAGCCGCACAACTGGTGACATCTGGAGAAGGGCTCAGCTCTATGAAGTTAGTAAAAAAATAAAGCTATCACTGTAACAGGCCGTGGAGGATCCCACATTTTATAGACAATCGGCTCACAGATAGCGGCGACGCTGCCAGCCTTACGCGCCGGCCGCTCTTTACCCCTATCGATACCCGGAACATATTTCTGTTAGAGGCTGATTCGACCCCACGGCCATATTGAGGCTAGAAGTATTAAGTCAGTTGAAAAATCCAATGAACTCATCGGGAATCGAACCCGAGACCTTCCGGCTTGTAGCGTAGTGCCTAAACCAATTACGCTACCGCGTGCCCCCATGAAGTTAGTTAAATTATTAAAGCAGGATAAGGAAGAACAATTCGAGAGGAAAGGGAAGCAATGTTGACGGAGGAGAAACGCGAAGCAGGAAGGCTGTAACGCCGTAATGCCGTTCTGCATAGAGAAAAGCGCTCCGTGGCTTACATCACGCCACAGGAAGGGAATGCTGCTATTTTCCTGGCAGTAATGGTTCCCTAGGGACCGCTTTACGCGGTTCTTGACGTCAGATTTATGGGACCGTTTATACAAGAGCACACAGACAGCTCGCCATCAACCAACCAAAACGATCCCAAGAACTGTGGTTGGTAGCACGACTGTCGGCCATTTTAGTTTCGTCATGTGATGGTGGCGCCTCACGCTACCGAGTGCTTCACAGCTGTAATTAATATTCTAGGGGGGAAGGGGGAACTGCCGACAGTTTTATAACCAGAGGAATTTACGAGCGTTTTATTCCAAGTACGGCGGCATCAAACTAGCCGTGTGCTGGGGCGACACACTGTAATATATTAAATAAAAAAATACGTTAACACAGTCAAGGGATTGCGTCGAAACTGATTGCTTGAAACTGTAGATGAAGGAAAATGATTAAATTCTTTTTGTGTCGATTCTGTTAGATCGTAGTCTTAACTAAGCGGTGAAATGGCACCTCAGAACATAAAAGCATTAGTTGAATAGCAGGATTCACCATTGTGAGTGGTTTGGAACTGCATACGTTACGAAGCGTCAGATGGGACCAGAAGATAACGCGGAAAGGAAGAGCAGTCGTTGAGTCAGCTCACTATCTCGGTAATTCTCTGTAGGAACTGTGTAAAACCACGACATGCTTCAGTCACGACAACAGTATTCGAACCAACCTCAACCGAATTTATTCGTTGTGTCTAATATACTCCATTAAAAATGTGCCCAGACAAAATTTGCAGTGGTTTTTTATTTTCTACAGTGAACTTTTTATACTGTAGAAACGCAGCTGTACCGCACTTCATACACACACGTGTACACTGAACAGAACTGCATCGTCCGCGGAGTATCCCGTGCTTAGTCGTTTGTGATGAGAGTGCTAGTTACGAACTGACGCAGCAGAGGCTACACGGCTGCTTATTTATCACTTTCCTATATTTTGCCTCGGTATTTCCAAACAAGGAAACAAACTCCGTGGCCTGTAGTCCGCAAGCAAACTATACCGACCGAGCGACCGCCACTTGTCGGCGAAGTTAGTGCACAACGCGTGGTCAGCGCAACGGATCCCCACGGCCGTTAATCTCGGTTTTCTAGACCGGATACGCTATTTCCTTGAAATAGTTCCTCAATTATCCTCATGAGGTGGAGTGGACCCCGTTCCAGACCCACTACTTCTCAGAAAATGGTAGCGCCTGAAATCGAACCCGGGACCTCTGGATCTGTAGCCAGAAACTCTGACCATTAGATCAAAGAGGCGGTCCGGCATTGTCAAACTTTAGTAAATAGAAGAATAGAAATCTTTCGAAAATCATGAATGCCCTGAATAGTTATGTCCCTGTTTGCTTCGGATTCCAAGATTAATTTCGTGCTTGTGATGTTTTGTAGCTACCTGTAACGTAAACCAATCTAATTCTCATCCCTTGGTTAGGCTTGTGCATCTTTACTGCTTCACCTCTTTACTCTTTCTTGTGTGTTTCACACTTACCATAAACACCGATGTATTAATTACTTTAAAAAATGTGAAATTGCGTCTCTGACTTCCCCCCCCCCCGCATCAGATTTCGGGCTAGGGAACGCGCTGGTTTTGGACTGCTTAGAACAGAATATGTTTAACCTTGTTACGAACTGCACTTCTTCGCATGAAACGTTCCCTGATCACAGAAGTTCACCTTCTGAAGTGCTCTTAGACCAGTGTTTCTCAAACGCTGGGCCGCGCCCCGGTACCGGGCCCTCGCCTTAAAGAAAGGAAAAAAAGAAAGAATTTACCGGGCCGCGGTCTGCAAAGGTTGAGAAGGTTGAGAACCACTGCCTTAGACTACCGTCTCCTGGAGTTGACGTTACTTTACCAACTGCTATCCTACGGTCCCTCTTGGCAAATGCCGGGGTAGTACCTTGAAATAAGGTAAGGCCGCGCCTTTCAGAACCCTTTCGAATTCATCAGCCATTCTAATATCCGACACTACGAGTATATAGTCTAGATAGTAACAGCGTGGTTAAATATGAGCTCTGAAAGCTCCCATGGGACACAGAATCAAGTATCATTGTGCTGGTGAGGACCAGCAGCAATTTAGCAGTCAGTCAGTCAGTCAGTCGTTAAATAACCCACAAAACCATACTAAGGAGCACTGAAAGGGCAAAGCGTAACGGGCATGTACTCTGATATAAAATATTTTTGACGGTACGTTATCGTTAGGTGGTTACGTAGATTATTATTTCAAAATTAGAAATCTGAAACTCGTAAATTGTTTCTTCAACATCTGACGGGAACCAGACAGAGTCTGATGTTGCCACATTACAGTTAGTAAAACAGGTGTGCCCTTGCTTCTGGGTTAGAAGAGACCTCAAACACATGGGGTCAGGAAACTGCAGAAATCCTCAACAGAAATATCGTCTAACTTTCAAGTGAAATTGTGAAAATGATATCTTGGATGTAACATTTTTCTTGTCGCATACAATTATGTGTTACGAAGAATCTATTAATAATGGAATTCCTAATTGTAGTAGCTTCATAAAACGTTAAAATTAACTGACATTAAAGACGAGGAAGTGAGTAGAGTATTGGCATTAGATTTCTAATTTATAGAGGGAACATTTTTGAATATTAAAAGCACTGTAATTTCTCATTCAAAGGAACTACTGAATATTTTGATAATGTATGATAATTATTCATTATGTAATCATGATGCGGCCTTTAAGGAGTTGCTGCAAGTAGTAATGTTATGCTGATGATGATAGTGAGACAGTAAAACCATATCTCGGATGACACATTGCATTAGTGTGTCTGCACATGAACCCAGACCCACGCAAAGAGAAGGCCCACAGCACAACACAGTAACACATGATGATGATGATGATGATGAACATAGGTGTTTAAATAATGTGAAATAATATGAACAAGGCTTTCAGCATGCAGATTTTATTAAATATATAAATTTTAGTATGAAATCTCTGTCATGATACATTTAAATTACAGAGGTTCACAGTGAATAAATATATCACTATTGAAGCCAAAATTGCAAACAGCAAATATTCCCACACTGTAGAGCATATTTGTCACCTGTGACATTCTGATGTGTAAAGAAGAACTTGTGTGAACAATACAATTGTTGTGTTTAATAATGTCCAGAAACACAATAGCTGTATTAATATACCATCGTCACAAACGTTCAGGCCTTGAAGAACAATGTTAAAAAAAATGCTTTTTCACTAGAACAGTAGTTCTGAACCCTGAACATGAACCCTGGAATTTGAAATCTCACAAGGGAATATGCGAGATATTTTCTGCGCATGGTATCAACAAAGTGTACTGAAAATTAAGATCTCTATCATGTAGTGTTCATAAAGACTGAAGGAACTGTTGAAGTTAAACAGGAACCAACTACGATGGGTGGTGGGACTACTTACAGGACACTGTCACCTCAAAGGACACTTCTTCAAACTGGGACTACGTGACAGTCCCACTTGTGAGAGGTGTCAAGAAGAAAATGAAACAGCTACACATATCCTGTGTGAATGTGAGGCCTTAGCTTATTTAAGATTGCGTCACTTGGGTAAATACTTCATGGAACCAAGTGACTATTTCGACGCCCCCACATACAAAATCCTGCGCTTCATTCAAAGTGCAGGATTGCTGACGGGATAATTAAAAGGGGAAGCACAATAGACCACTGTAGGTCGCGGTGCAAGGGCCGAGAAGGCCTACCCCTCATACATTCATTCATGTAGTGTTCATCACATGTAATAACACATAGCTTGAGATCCAAAATTAAGTCTTCATTGAAAAGAAGTACATGCAGTCCTACTCCATCCAGATGGAGTGGTATGTCAACTGAGAACAGCTGTCCCTTGGAGCTGAAAAATTGTATCTCTTATCCTATTCAAGTGCAAAACATCAGAAATAAAATAAAATACTATTCCATTTAATGTGCAATTAGGCGAGTATGTATATACAGTTGTTTGATTTGAAGTGCTAAAATTGACTCAATGCAACAAGGGCATGATTACCAGTACAACAAAACTGGAAAGGCTGTACTCCAGAATAGAGTACAAAAAATTGCCAGTTGCGTTCTTAGGGGTTTATTATGTTTACTAAAAGAATATGGATAATGAAACGAAAATAAGCGCAAGTCTCTAACATCAAACATAACAAAATCTGCAGCAGTGTATATGGGGTGCACGAAAACAGCTATGTATGACCACACATAAACCAGGCTTTATTATGGATCAATATGGGTGAAAATGACAATTGCTTGACAGCTTTTAGTGAAAGTCTCTCATTTTGAGATTAAAGAAAATCAATCTAATGATAGAGGCACTGATACTAAGTCACAGACAAACGGACAGGCCTTCCTTTACATAAAGCATTTTCTTTACTTTGTAAAGAGTGGCTCAGAATCAGTTCATGTCTGTTTTTCTGTTCCATCTTCACCCTTCTTCTTCAGAGCTTCTACCGACCACCCTGGCTGGTGATCATAACTCTTGGATAGCTTTGCATGGCTGAAGTCAAATCCAGGATTCTGCAAATAAGAAACACAACCTGACGNCCCAGAAGACTGCTTTCTTCATAGTCACCGCCGTGAAAGCCTCAAATCTTACACAGTAGTGATCATGTCATAATTTAAACATTTATAATTCAACATCATTAGCTTTGATCGTGTACAGTCTGAATTTCTGAGAATGTTAAGTAAACAACAAACAAATATGTAGTATCATCAACAATACGCCCATGGATACCGCGTAGACCTTTAAGGTGACAGTCTTATGCTATATTTTGGTTTTGAGACCATAACTATTACTAACTTATTTTGCCATACAAACCTTAAAATTGCTTACAAGAATACCAACAGAATTAAGATCACTTAAACCAACCAGTGTGGTATTAAATATATTGGTCAAAAAGATGCATGTTACAGAGAACACACAAACGCCATTGGGACCAATAGGCAAAATTCAAAATTCATACAACACAGTCAAGAAACAGGACACGACTACGATATGATAGACCAGACTATGGAAATATTACACACAGAAAAGAAGGGGGCCAAGCTCAGCATATTAGAATGGTTACATGTACATATACAACATATCCAAGGAAGTTCCACAAATGAATGGTACATTTACATACATACATAACCCCATCAGTCCCCCCTCTCACCACCAACCACAGCACTACCCCCACTTCATACAAATTGACCACCCACACACATACACAAGTGCCCCTTAACAGGCAGTTCAGACAGAGTCGCTACAGCACAGTAGTATCACCTCCAGGGGAACTGTATAGATAAACATCAAATTTGAATATGTAAGTACCCACACGAAATAACCCAAAGAATTCGCTTAAAAGCTCTCACAATAAGCTCTATATTATAATCTAAACTGCTACAGCCAAATCCATGTACAAACAACCTGAGATTGATACCCAGTATAAAGAGCATTTGTTAGCATAAAAAATTCATACAAACACAATATGAATTCATATTGATTAATGATGCAATTCAGGAACAAATACCAGCATTCTTGTATGCCTGAAAATGACCCAGGAAAAGGGTTGAAACATGTAGCATTGCCACCAACAGCTAATAAACAAATGTTTGACACAGCAGGGGTTTTGTGGACTGACCCATCATATACCTTTCTTGTGCTATTTGTCCATGGTTCATTTAATGACTTCAGTGTGAAACAGCATGGCAATCAGTAAATAATAAATTGGAAGGGTGTGGAAGAAAATTTTAGGTACTATCCTCACACTTGCTTGGAGAGACTGAAGAAAATCACGAAGAACTTGTCAGGATAGCTGACTTTCCAATCAAGATTTGAATATTGGACCTCCTGAATAAAATACAGAAATGATGGCAATTTAAGCACTGTCTTTGGTATGACAGAATCTTGAAATGTCAAGGTCATTTCTAGCATTTTCAGAAAACAACACAGCAACAAAAGAACACTGAACCACTCTGAACTTGTGAGGCTGTGTGTCATGCGAGTCATGTTAAAAGTTTATACACAAAAATTTAGTGTAGAAGTAGATCACCAGATTACATAATTTTCAGCCTGCTTTCCCTGTTTTTTAATAATAAAAAAAGACTTATCTGTCTGTGTATCCCCTTATCAGTGTTTGATTGACTGAACCAATCTGTATGAAACTTGATATCTATATCATGGCACCTGAGCCTACCTCAAGATTGTACTTCATAAACTCCTCCACTCAGTTTGTATGTGTATCCCGCCACTGTTGTTGCTAAGCAATGGCTTGGTAAAAATATTACAGCACTGAATACACATGCAACAGAAGAATTGTTTGGTACATAATTTTCTAAGTGGTCCATATCGTATCAAGGAATGTAGGCGATTAATTTTTCCCAGAACTTCTTGTTAATATATGCATCTGGAAAGCCTCTCGTTTAGGAAAGGAGACACCAAAGACTGTCAACAATATACTTACTTCAATCTGAAACCTCTCTAGGTCAAGCTTCTGTCTCATCTTATGTAATGTGAGTGGATCTGGTTTATACATATCCCCTTCAAGCAATGATTCCCATATTTCATCCTTCAAGGTAACATCTGCTTTTGCCAGCACAATACTCAACAGTTTATTGTCTTCAACAGTCCAAACTGTTTCATCAGCATGCACTGTACTGTATAATCGACCCTGTAACAAGATCCAAAGACACAGCTCTGGAAACTGGAATATTTGTTAAGGAAAATTGAAAAGAATAAAGAAAAACAAATAAAACTGCTAGCTGTACCTTGAACACAATATTTTTGCAAACAGTACAGTTAATTTCATTAGGACAGACTCTAACAGACACCTCCTTTGCTTTTGTATTTTTTGGTAGGTTCACTTCAATATGCACTTCATGTACAGTCTGCCACCAACAGCCCCAATCTGTGATGCACGACACAACTCCACTCTTCTCGTCAAAGTGACTCAGACTATCCAATGGCATCTCTCCTGTACACACATACAAACAATAACAATTACATATAGTAACATCCCATCTACTGGAGACTAGAGGCTGCACTTGTGTTCAGGAGCATATGTATTATGGAATGCTGGGCTGGACTGGCCACACCCAAGCCCTAAGCATCAGAATGCTCCCTTCTGCCTTCATTCAGTTCAGATTTAACTGTACACTTCATTTTTTACTCTTATTTCATATTAACTTTTAATACCAATATTCATATGTCTTTGTCAATGCCCACTGTAGTTACATCATCTTAATCAAATACCCTTGCATTGCCTAGTGGCTATGACTTCTGTTCTTTGTAATTCAAAGTACTGAACACAGATATGTGAGTTCTTCTGGTGTGTTTGGGGTTGGCATCTGGTGGGAAGAAGAGATGTACGCCTGTCCACATACACCACTTAACACGAAAATCTTCAAAGTGTAAAATTAGAACTGTAACCAAGTTCTGTCACACTCACGGCGTGTCTGCCAGGCATACAGTTTTAACTTAGTGCTGTATGTTAATTATATTTCTGATGCAAATACAAAATTTCATTGTGAGTAAAATGGTGCTTACGTACAATTTCTGGCAGCTAATGTTTAGAGAAGACTCAGTTAATGACTTTTTGATGTGGTACTGCTGTGTAGTTCCAAACAGTTATTGCATATTAATTAATGCATATATGTAATGTGAGGATGTGCAGATATTAAACTGTAAAATCTAAAAAACGATTATTCTTCTTACATAATTGCACAAAACAACAATACTTCAGTATGTTTGGAACAATTTTAAATATTACAGCACCATCTTTAATGTTGGCAGTCATGCGAACCTCGTACAGACGCTAGATATTGCTCGATATATTTTGTCGCTTGTATCATATGCGATTACGCGTGCACGGTGTACTACGCATGCGTAAATAATACTCCTATGCACGCCTGTGCACACAGGTGATTCGAAATCCGTAGTAATCTTAAGGGGACGTGTAAGGAATGTGCAGCGAGCTATAGTTAAATTCAATGTGCTGTAGTGTTTGACACGTTGGCGGTCATGTGTTTTTCTTTCGATTTACAATTTTAAGTTTGAATTGCTTCGAGTATCTGAAGTGACCACAGACAACCAAAAAACGAAAGGATTAAATGGTAAATTGTATATTTTTTACATAATGGTATTTCATGAGCTTCGTTGGTATTAAAGTTCCGTATGTTAAAAAGAATGGTTGCAGTAACGTATTCGTAACCGTAAATTACGACTGTTGTTTGTTCGCTTTCATTCACATATTTCTCGAGCAGGTAATTCTGTATGAAGCTTTTCAGATGTGGAGAGTATGCCGAACACGTGGAATACTGAAACGTGCCCATCTGTAAAAGATTGTGCATATTGCTAGAGGAAATGATCAAATAAATGGGTAACATTCCAGTTATTAAAACAATCCAGACTATGGAAATTATTTTTTAAATTTGGATGACATCAGAATATCGAATTTATGTCAAAGTATGTCATAACGTGAAGTGAAACTATAAGGTTACGTTGCGCAATGAACTTAACACATGTAGTACATACCGGCATTTGACGTAAATAATGTGTAAGTGGCAAAATTTAAAACCGTATTCTTATCAGATTATCATGTTGTTTCTGAAGTTTGAAACATAATATAATCATGAATGTGAAGAGACATAATGTCGTTCTAGTGGAATAAGCTATGTTAATTCGTAAATTAACCAAACCTCAACGAATATCGTTACTGACAGTTAAGTTAAACAGCCAATTCAAATATATTGATCAACTGAACTGATCATTTACAACTGTAAATACACAAAATAGATAAAATCAAAAATTGAAAATTGAACTTCAGGCATCTTCCCAAAATTCTTAGATTGGAATTTCTTCAATCCTGATGTCATGGTTTTACTGTCATGACAAAATCTTACTGAATTTAGTTTATATCAGACATAATGATATACATTTCCAAGACTAGTATGGAAGTCCTGTTTGTGAAGATGGGTTTCACAGCGTGAGGATGATGTTAATATTGAGGTTAGGTTCCTAGGGAAAGGAGGCATGGCTAACTCGAGAATGTGCCCTTGTTTATAAATAAGGGATGTGAAATGTTATGCTGTGTCATGTCTGTTCATGTGTGGTCTCTAACAAAAAAGTGTAATTTGATCAGTGGTTTCATTTCTAGGCCTCTGCCCTGGATAGGAAGGGTACCTTCAAGGTTGAGTACCTTCGGAAGATTGAACAAGATGTTCAGGCCAGGTGGGAAGAAGAAAAGATATATGAAGTGGATGCTCCAGTTGAACCCAAGAAGAGTCTTGATGAAAAGTTTTTCTGTACATTTCCTTTCCCCTACATGAATGGCAGGTTACATCTGGGGCACACATTTTCTCTCTCCAAATGTGAGGTAATTTGTGGTCAGATATTTAATCAAATGTTTCATCTTTTATTTTTTATAGATATAATATCCTCTTGAATGTAGTTCTCCTTCCATTAACATATTCAGTTTCTGTTAAACTATACATGTTTGGAATTTATTGTTTTTGGATTTCCATTTCATTTCTTCCATTCTCCTGGCCAGAATATAGTGTATCCAAATGGTATATTTTTATTCCTGGCCAGATTATGTTCCCCCATAACTCATATGGTGTCATCCTCATGTCTAGCTTAATTAAAGGTCACATTTTTTCTTTGTTCTTCTAAAGTTTTCCTTCCATATTTCAAATATTTTCAAATAATTTTATTGTTTTAGGAGCAAATAAAAATTTGCTGTTACCCCACATGGCCTGACATTTTACCTGGGTAACATTACATACACATAATATGCTCTATAAAATCTAAACTTTTTATGGCAGCTATAGTTAAGACGAAATTCTTGGGATGTCAGCCATATCAGATGGTTAACAGTTATATTTGAGACCCTTGTGATGGTCCAAATAATTTTCAACTAGGTGACACAGCTCATGGCCTGAGAAGGTTTTATTAATGCAGTCTGTAGTTTGCAGCCCGCTACCAGCGACTAAAGGGGAAGCGTGTGTTGTTTCCTTTTGGCTTTCACTGCACAGGAATGCCAATTAAGGCATGTTCTGATAAGCTGAAAAGGGAGATGGAGGAGTTTGGCTTTCCACCAGAGTTTCCAGCCACTGCATTTGAAGTAGAGCCTGAGGAATCAAAAGCTGATGCAGTTGTCAAGGACAAGAGCAAGGGCAAGAAGGTAACTTGTTACATAGCAGCAAGAATATGTGATTCATTCAGCAGGTTTAAGTTACTCTGTACAGGTGGCAAGCAAGAATATGTGATTCATTCAGCAGGTTTAAGTTACCCTGTACAGGTCACAAGCAAGAATATGTGATTCATTCAGCAGGTTTAAGTTACTCTGTACAGGTGGCAAGCAAGAATATGTGATTCATTCAGCAGGTTTAAGTTACTCTGTACAGGTGGCAAGCAAGAATATGTGATTCATTCAGCAGGTTTAAGTTACTCTGTACAGGTGGCAAGCAAGAATATGTGATTCATTCAGCAGGTTTAAGTTACTCTGTACAGGTGGCAAGCAAGAATATGTGATTCATTCAGCAGGTTTAAGTTACTCTGTACAGGTGGCAAGCAAGAATATGTGATTCATTCAGCAGGTTTAAGTTACTCTGTACAGGTGGCAAGCAAGAATATGTGATTCATTCAGCAGGTTTAAGTTACTCTGTACAGGTGGCAAGCAAGAATATGTGATTCATTCAGCAGGTTTAAGTTACTCTGTACAGGTGGCAAGCAAGAATATGTGATTCATTCAGCAGGTTTAAGTTACTCTGTACAGGTGGCAAGCAAGAATATGTGATTCATTCAGCAGGTTTAAGTTACTCTGTACAGGTGGCAAGCAAGAATATGTGATTCATTCAGCAGGTTTAAGTTACTCTGTACAGGTGGCAAGCAAGAATATGTGATTCATTCAGCAGGTTTAAGTTACTCTGTACAGGTGGCAAGCAAGAATATGTGATTCATTCAGCAGGTTTAAGTTACTCTGTACAGGTCACAAGCAAGAATATGTGATTCATTCAGCAGGTTTAAGTTACTCTGTACAGGTGGCAAGCAAGAATATGTGATTCATTCAGCAGGTTTAAGTTACTCTGTACAGGTCACAAGCAAGAATATGTGATTCATTCAGCAGGTTTAAGTTACTCTGTACAGGTGGCAAGCAAGAATATGTGATTCATTCAGCAGGTTTAAGTTACTCTGTACAGGTGGCAAGCAAGAATATGTGATTCATTCAGCAGGTTTAAGGTACCCTGCACAGGTGGCAAGCACGAATATGTTCTTGACTTTTAACTTTCTGTTTCCTAAACTGTATATTGTTTGAAGAGATATGAAATGACAGGTGGAGATTGGAGAAAACTATATAATGAGGAGCTTCTTAACTTGTACTCCTCACCAAATAAAAGGATAGGATGTGGTGGTATTTGATTACACTAGCAGAGTCAGAATGTATCATTCAGTTATCAAACTCTGAAGGAACCATTTTAAGCACAGATGAAAATTAAATTGTGAGGTCCATAAACTCATTAATTCAATTTGGAATAAGGACTAATTGCATCAGCAATGGAAGGAGTCTGCTATTATACCAATTTACAAGAAGAGTGATAAAATTAACTGTAGTAATTATTGAGGTGTATTACTCTTATTGTCATACAAAATTTTATTCCTCCTCCTCTTAAGGTTAGGTCCATGTGGAGACAAAGTTACCAGAGAGGATCTGTGTACGTTTTGACATACAGCAGATGAACTATCACTAATATTGACAGGAGGGTACTATTAAAAAAGGCTCTTAAATTGGATGGGGCATATGGACTGGATTCATTTGGCTCAGTGTAGAGACCCATAGCAATCTCTTGTGAACATGGTAATTAATCTGTAAGTTGCATAAATGTTGGGAATTTGTTGAGTTACTGAGTAACTGTTGGCCTCTCAAGAAGGGCTCTGCTCCATGGACGTGGTTAGCAGGACCAGAATATGCTTGTTAAAACACTTCCATTGAGTCTTCCTGAAAGGAGTACAGGAAATTTAATGTGACATTGGGATATTAGTGTTGTCACCATTCTGTTTTCTGTTTTGCAAGTATCATTTGAAATTGTCTGTCTTTTCAGAGCAAGGCAGTGGCAAAATCAGGCAGTGGCAAATACCAGTGGCAGATAATGCAGAGTCTTGGGCTTTGTGATGATGAAATAAAGAAATTTGCAGATGCTTCCCATTGGTTGGATCATTTCCCTCCGCTTGCAGTTAAAGATTTGCGCAGAATTGGAATCCATGTAAGTTGACTAGAGGTGATGAACACTGACATTTGAAAATTTCATTCATATTAATTTCCTATTCAGGATTAAGGCTGAAGGGGGGAAAAAATGTTTCTTGTCTGAACTGTGATGGTATGAATTTGGATTTCATAATCAACCCATTATTGTAATTAGGAATATTACAACTGTAGACGATACAGACATTATATAAGTAAGGGTGACGAAAGGTAACTAACTTTTAGGCACTACCCGGTGGTTGTCAAGTGCTAGGAAGTTGTGATAGAGGGTGAGGAGAAGTGGGTAACGCTGTGAGTACAGTATGCAGAAAACAGTGCATTAAAATGATTGTAAGATATTGGAAGGCCTGACACCACACATGCAGCTCATCTTCTTGTTGAAATTCATTACACATACTGAGAAATGTATATTGTTTCTTACAAGTCTCTGTCCCAGAATTTGTTGGAGATAAACTGTCTTTTTTGATGTGATGCCACATAATTTGTGTGAACATTTGTAAAATGAGTTGCATAGTAAGCCCCTGCAGAGGACCCCATGTTCATGAATTTAATTTAGCTAGTGTATTGCATGTATTTGCTGGTCACGGTAGCCGAGCAGTCTAAGGCATGCACTGTCTTCGCTCGCTCGGAAGCCGGGATCATGGGTTCAAATCCCACTCAGGGCATGGATGTTTAGTGTGTGTACGTGCATGCATGCGTGTTTGTTTCTGTGTGTGCGCGCGCTTTTGTGTACAGGTAGAGGCCTTGCGATGAGCTGATCACCTGCCCAAGGAGTCCTACTGAATGTCTAAGATCTAGTAAACCAAATTGAAACAGAGAGTTTAGTGGAGGTAGGCCAAGGTCAAAATTGGGGCTGTAGTGCCAAAGAGAGGAAACATTGTATGTATTTAGCTATGTTTTTGAGACTGAAGGTCCTTAACACCGCATAGAGGTTATATTTTGTAAATTTAAATGTGCTTTCTCTTGCCTGTAAAATCAAGACTGGCTTTGGGGCCCACGTAGCCTCCTGTGCAGTAGGTACCAGAGGATATTCCCCCAGGACTAAAATGGCAGGAACGTGCACCTCACCATTCTCACCTTCAGCTTTAGCTGAGGTGAAGAATGGTGCAACTTCACCTCCTCTGCTCACCCATATGTTTTCATGGTGTGGTGCTTACATTAAAACCAGGGATAACCTTACTTACCTTACATTTTAATGTTGGCTCATGACTGTGATATTCTTCTGACACAGGTTGACTGGCGTCGTACATTTATCACAACTGATTCAAATCCGTTTTTTGATCAGTTTGTGCGATGGCAGTTTCTACAACTGAAAGCTAGGAACAAAGTAATGTATGGAAAACGCTACACTGTGTTCTCTCCAAGAGATAATCAGCCATGTATGGACCATGACCGCAGCACTGGTGAGGGTGTTGGGCCACAGGAATACACACTCATTAAGATGAAACTTTTAGAGCCTTTCACTTCAAAACTGAGGTATGGTCAACAGGATGTTACACATGTTCATTTGTGTCAAAGCTTCTGACACTGTCTTCACCCATTTACCTGTTTAAGTGTGGGCAAATGTAGCAGTGATGTAGTATTTAAAGTGTAAATGTCTGAAAAATAATGGTCTTCAATGTTAAAAATAGTTTAGTGCTGTCATCTGTGTAGTGAGGTCAGGGAACTTGGCCCTAGTGATCTGGTAGCAGATATTAAAACAAGGAAGTGCGAGTCTTTGGAGCCTGTGAGTGGAATGAATCAGACAAGGTTGTAAGAACATTTTTGGAAGTTAGCTAGAAGGCAGAAGAACTGTAGGAAGGCCCAGGTTGTTTTTGCTGAAAGATGTGGCGAATGATGTATGAGAGCTGAACGTGAACAGAAAAAGGAAAATAATAGAGAAGAGTGGACATCATTCATATAGGAGACCATAGGATCAAGGAATAAAGTAAGCAAGGAAGCAAGCAAGTGAATTTGAATTTCTCAGCCTTTGGAACTGAGTATTTACTGATTTACTGGTATTTATTTCAGTAAAGTTTTTCATCAAGACCACTGACGTGAACAGGGCCAATGGTGTACTCTATCAGAATTGAAGAGAGTTCATTACAGGATATCACAGTAATCTGAATACTTTCTGCGGTAATTCACATGTTTCTGATATTTGTTTGCAGCTCCCTGAAAGGGAAACCTGTCTTCCTAGTTGCAGCTACACTGCGTCCAGAAACTATGTATGGCCAGACTAACTGCTGGGTTCGCCCTGACCTTCAGTACATAGCTTTCAGCACAACTACTGGTCCAGGTGAAGTGTTCATTTGTACCAGGCGCTCAGCACGCAACATGGCATATCAGGGCTTCACAAGAGAGGAGGGGAAACTTGATGTGCTGCTCGAACTTACCGGACAGGTAACCAGGTGGCCAGTTTCACAGCCAGTTGCATGATGCTATTAGCATCAGCAGACAACACAAAATCACTTTTTTGTGTAACTTTTCTTTCTTTCTACAAATACATCTTCCTCTTGCATCATGAGGGTAGAATGCTGTACAAATGAATTGTCCTGATTTTGTGGGATTGTCAGCCATGTTTTTCACATGTGGGGAGGGGGGTTGATAGACCAGTATTAGCCAACTCAAGCATGCATATTCATCCTCACAGTAATGTGATACAAAGAGGTTGGGGATTGTATGTGTGGTGTAACAGTTCTGGTGTGTTCACTCTGTTATTTGTTCCTATTTGTTATACTTTATACTTTGTTCAGAAATTCAGTGTTTTGTGTATTCATTTCAGGACATAATGGGCGTCGCATTGCAAGCCCCTCTCACATCCAATACAAAGATATACACTCTGCCAATGTTGACTATAAAAGAAGATAAAGGCACTGGAGTTGTAACAAGTGTTCCATCAGATTCTCCAGATGATTATGCAGCTTTACTAGACCTGAAGAAGAAGCAGGCCTTGAGGGAGAAGTATGGGATTGAGGATGAAATGGTCCTTCCATTTGAACCTGTAGGTGAACAGTAATTGCTTTGACATTACATTAAATTACATTCCCCAGATCCAAAGTTAATCAAAATGACTGTAGGGTGTGCAGTATGTCATATAAATACAGAAACATATATGTAGAATACAATTGAAGTTTTCACACAAGAAAACACCCCCCAAAAACCCTGTGGTTACACATAAGGCTATTCAGAAATGCATCCACATATTCATCAGTACTGTCAAGTTATGTAATTTACACAGCCTTTTGATGGATGAGTCATTTTTTAGACGTCAGGTATTCATCAACAGAGTAGAATGTGTGTGTTTGTTTTAGCATTTCAGGGCTGCTTTAAATTGTGCTTTTTTCATTTATGAGATTTGCATGTAAATATGACTGTATGATTTTAAAGGTGCTGTTTTACTGTTGTATCATTCATTTATATAAATGAACTCAGTGTTGAATTGTACTGGATCATATGCACATCCTGAAATATAAATTATTATAAACAATCAGTAAGCACCAATAGGTACCATATACAGCATACAGGAATAAGCATGATTGGAAGATGGAGTAGTAACAGTATAATAGATAATGGAAAGAAACGTTAGGCAAACATGAAGTGCTTTGTAAGATTTGAGACTTTCACGGCGGTGACTATGAAGAAAGCAGTCTTCTGGGATTTGGCACCGTGTATATGTTGTGTTAANGGTTAACACCGCATATACACGGTGCCAAATCCTAGAAGACTGCTTTCTTCATGAAGTGCTTAATTGTTCACACAGTGTGGTAACTTGTGAAGGCAAATGTAAAAAGTTCATTAAGCTATTCTTATATTGTCTTCTGATGGTGCAACATGTCAGTCTGTGTAAGTAACTCATGTAACTGAGTAATGTAAGAATATACCTGTAACAGTATACATTGTTTTTATTTAATATATGTTTTTAAATTCAGAATTTAATACATTTTACACTAAATACAAAACTTATGTCAGAAAGTCTGTTTCTTCTTGTGTACAGATTCCAATTATTGATGTGCCGGACTATGGATCTCTGAGTGCCGTCACTCTTTATGAGAAACTCAAGATTCAGAGTCAGAATGATAAAGATAAACTGCAGGAAGCTAAAGATTTGATATATCTGAAAGGCTTCTATGATGGTGTAAGTAGAAGGATATTTGTCAGGATATTACACTTACTTTTGGAAGTATGCTTTGTGCATAATATATGAAAGTGTGTCTCAGAATATTGTCATGTGTATGAGTGACTCTCTACCGTGTATTATTGTTTTGGAGATTGGATTTATTGACCACTTTAACACATGATTTGTGACTACACTTAATTATAATGCCATTGCTGATTTCCATACACTTTTAAATCACTAGAGCACACGTTAAGTCTTTTCCAGCCTGCAGTGTCTTCACCAGTAGTTGCCTGATAAAGGCTTCAACAATGGCTGTTCCTCTGCTTCCATGCTTATGTCCTCTTTGAATGGCAGCTCCATTCCAACTGAACTAACTCCTAAACATGTCTCGATTATTACATCTCAGCTCAGACCAACAGAAAACACAGCTCATCTGTTGCTCAAATTGTTTCCATGGGAACATGTTTTGTTTGTGAATGCATTACCCAGTAACATCTCTGGTATATTTGTATATCTCAGGGTTGTTGCCCAGTAATGGATGTTGTTTGATTGTTTGTTTCAAGGTCGTTACCAAGTAATGGCTCTGTACGCTACAGTATTATAGTAGGGTGTGAGGGTGTAGATTGGATTCATCTGTCTCAGGTTAGGGCCTAATGGCAGGCTCTCGAGACCACAGTTGTGAACTTTTATATAGATGATTAATTTCCAACTACCTGAACAATTTAAGTTTTTAATGACTCTGCTCACTGAAGTCAGTCGGGTGAACAGAAGAATAAAGGTGCTCGGAGTTGAGAAATAGAAATCTGAAAGGAGGAAAGATCAAATGGTATTTTCACCAATATTTTAAGTCTTATAAATTTGACAAAAGTTTAATTTTTTCCAATTTGTTTTGGTACTCAGGTTATGTTGGTAGGAGATTTCAAGGGAAAGAAAGTTCAGGATGTGAAAAAGGCTCTGCAGAAACAGCTGATTGATAAATATGAAGCTGTTACATATTATGAACCAGAGAAGCAAATAATATCAAGGTAAGTGTGGCGGCACTGATATTTTCCCATTTTTCATACATTAGAAATGTTATCCATCTGTTTTTATTTCAGGAAATACACTGCTGTGTTTGCCTCACAGTAAGATGTTTCTTTTTCACATTTTCATTAAAAAATAAGTACTGTCATGTATATTTGCAAATTTAGAACCAATTCAGCAATATGTGAACAGATGGAAGGGAATCTGGCAAGTATGGTTCATTTTTAAACTAATTTTCATTGTATTTTCATTACTGCCACACTCACATGCAACCTTATATTATTTAATACATGAAAATTCATTCTTCAGAGGGTTAAGGCCCATTTCACTGATCTTCTACATTCCACTATGAATGATCTTCATTGTTGTGGAGCAAGCCAAATGATAACATGTTTTATTCCTATATTATTTTTTCTTAATTATTAATTTATTTATATAGTAATGCTTTCAATGGGGCCCAGGATAACTGAATCACTATAGCAGTGGTCTGCAGGTTGGATGGCTGGGGTTCAGTTCCTGGCAGAGGCAAGAGATTTTTTCTTCAAAACGCCCAAACCAGCTCCAGGGCTCAATACATCTGTTCATGGCATTGTGCTTAATCAGTTAAACAGGGACTCTGTGGTGGTGGGGGTAATGCATTTGTTTCAACGTCATAGGGTTGCTAGCTAGTCTGTACCATGTTCACATGAAATGTCTGTACTGAATTTTTCTATGTACATTTTATTTCACTGTCATTCTCTCACACTCGTTCTTAAACAGCCTTATAACTTCTCAGTTTAATAGTGTTGACACAAAGCATGAGGTTCCTATTTTGACTAATTTCCCCATTTTGTAAATAGTGCATCTTTGGCCATCCTGTTCTGACCTCTAGCTGATTGCAAAACAGAACAGAGTTTCAGACAGATTTGTTATGTATGATTGTAAATGTCACAGACTAGTCAGCATTGAAATTTTAATAGGAAATGGTTGCAGTTATGACACATCATGCTTATTGCAGTGTGATCCGCTTTTACACAATATAGCCCTTGAGGGACAATGAGATAACAGTTTCACTGAATACATGCTGTGAACCTGAAAATTTCTGTAAAGACAGCCACGTTTATACTTCAGTAACAGTTTGTACCAATCAGTGCTACCCTTTGGAGGTACACTAAGAGCTTTTTTGGCAAAGCCAAACACTGCATACCTAACACTGTCATTTATTACTGCTGTCTTATGTTGTGTGTTGGCAACTGATTGTCCGTGGAATAAAATTGCTTGAATGATTGTACAAAGAGATTTACTGTGAATTCAATGAAATTGTAAACATAATAAATACATATTAATTAAAATGTTACAGTCTTTTACTGTTTATATTGAAGAAAGTACATAAACATGTAGAGATTAAACTAATGTGGTAATCAGTAAATTCTTGTATTTCCAGTGAAGAGTGAGAGGCTTGAGGGTATGCACTGTATTAGATTTATTTGTTGGTAGGTCTGGTGATGAGTGTGTTGTAGCGCTCTGTGATCAGTGGTACCTGGATTATGGTGAAGAGCGCTGGAAAGCACAGGCAGTCAAGGTTTTGAATAGAATGAACACTTATCATGAAGAGGTGAAGAAGAACTTTATGGCTACTTTGAACTGGCTGCATGAGTATGCCTGCTCTCGGACATATGGCCTTGGTTAGTCGTCTAGATGAGAGTTGTTGCAGTTCATTTTGATAGTGGTGTACCGTTGTTATAAGTATGCGAGTATGTGTGTATGAAGATCTTAGACTGACAGCAGCTGTCTTAAGGGAATGGGTATAATAATACAGACTGGATTTACTTGCCTCATATAGAGGGGCTCATATTTCTGCATTCAAGAATTTATCACTTGTATAACAGTACTGATCTTAAGAAATGAGAATCACTTATAGCCTAAAATATAGAATGTATCTTCTCCGTCTTTATTCAGGGTCTAAGAGTAAGCCAAACAAGAAATCAGGTCCCTTGAAAAATCATAAAATCAATCCTCTATGCAGATTCTCCACTGGACCATGTAGATCTGGGAACACACCCCTTATCAGGGGTGTGCTTTCTGTGGACACCCATCAACCCTGAGCCTTTCCATACTTTCCCAGCTTCCCTCTACTGTTCTTGTTCTTATCCACCGCCACATGCCTGCAACCTATGCGTAATGAATCCCTTCCAAGGTGCACCCTAGTGACTTCTCTTGGCTTTTATTCCTTCACCTTGTTCCTCATAGGGAGTCAGTGGTAACTGATGGGTTGGCATGCGAATACCCCCATAAAAAGTAGAGTAAAAAAAAGTAAAGCTATCCCTGTACCAGGCCATGAAGGCCCATAGGGTTGTGAGACGTTGAGGGTCCCACATTATCTAGACAATTGGCTCAAAGATGGTGGTAAGGTTGTCAGCCTTATGTGCCGGCCGCGCTTTACTCCCCAGGAAAATTGTTTAATTAATTCCTGGTTCTCATTTCTGTTAGAGGCTGAGTAAACCCCAGGGCCTAGTGCGGCTGGAAGGATTAGGTCAACTGAAAAAATCCAATGACCTCATCAGGATTTGAACCTGCGACCTTCCGGCTTGTAGCATAGCACCTCAACCACCCTTGTATTCCACATATTCATGTGTTTTCTGCAGAGTGCACTGCTTGCTGCCCACTTCATGCTAGTTTCTTGCTTGCCATATTCTTCAGCCCTGATGAAGATGGAGGTGAGAAATTCTTCTGAGAATGTGGTTGTCTTCCAGTGGACTGCATGGCATATCCCAGAAGATAGGCCTCTTGTTATTGTAAACATTCAGAAACTGAGCTCTGAGCTATAATTTGTTATTCATCTGAACAGGCTCTGTGTGTGAATGAGAATATGAAAAGTTGTTCTCCATTATTGTTCTGAATCTGCACCTGCTGTGTTAAAGCATTTGCACTGAACAGAAAATAATACCTGTTTATGTTGAATAAGCTAAAACAGTTAAAGTCCTTATGTTTATAGGTACAAAGCTCCCCTGGGATGAAAAGTGGCTCATTGAATCTCTGTCTGATTCAACTATTTACATGGCCTTCTACACTGTTGCTCATCTGCTGCAAGGTGGAACATTTAATGGCAACAAGACCAATTCTTTTGGCATCAAGTGAGTGGACATGCCACACAAAACAAGCAGATGTGGCAGGCACAGTTATTTGTAAACATAACCTTATATTTCTGTTCCAACATCATGTTGAGACATCCCCCTCCCCCCCCCAAAAAAAAATATTGCAGAAATGTTTATAATCCCATATGCCTAGGCATATTCTTGTCTCATAATTATAATACCAAATCAGAAAGTAAAATTGCCTTTCATGGTTTTTGTCTCATTTTACATTTACTGCAAGAATAAAGCTGAGAAAAGTTTAACAGTTCCTGAAAGATCAGTAATATAATCGAGGAGGTTGGGATGGGCATTGTATCAGCATAAATAGGAGATATGAGAGATGCATCTAAATTGTTGTCAGTAAATATAAGAGGTTTTGGACTGGGTTAATTTGACTCAGGACAGGTTCCAGTCATGGGCTCTTGTGAGCAGAAAAATGAAGCTTCAAGTTCCATAAAAGGCAGGGAATTCCTTGATTAGCTGAGTGGCTGTTCATCTTCCCAAGGGGGAGTGCTGTATCATGGTGTGTGTGTTCATATAGGGCAGAACAAATGACTCCAGAAGTTTGGAACTACATCTTCTATAAAGATGCAGAGTTCCCTGCAAATACCAACATTTCAAAAGCATCTTTAGATGTAATGAGGAGAGAGTTTGAATACTGGTATCCTGTGGATTTGCGGTGTTCTGGGAAGGACCTTATTCAGAATCATCTGACATTCTTCATCTATAATCACTGTGCGTTGTGGCCAGATGATGAGAGCAAATGGCCTTTAGGCATTCGTGCAAATGGGCATCTGCTGCTGAACTCAGCCAAGGTAAACTATAAGACATGGGATATCTGGTGTACTGTCCTGCAGGGGATGTGTGTGTTAATGCAATATGGTGTTTCCCTGTCATCACAGATGTCCAAATCAGAAGGAAATTTTCTGACCCTCTCGGAGGCTGTGGAGAAGTTTAGTGCAGATGGGATGAGATTCTGTCTGGCCGACTCTGGAGATTCTGTAGAGGATGCCAATTTTGTTGAGAGTACAGCAGATGCAGGTGAGTGAGCTCAGGTTCTGAGAGTACACAGATGTGCTAGATGTTGTTAATTGTGTCTCATGTATTCTGTACAGGTATTCTGCGATTGTATACGTTCATTGAATGGGTGAAGGAGGTCCAGAACCTGAAGGCCACTTTTCGAGTGGGACCAGCGGATACCTTCAATGATAAAGTATTTTCAAGGTAAAGATTCAATTTGTCTTTCTTCTTAGAGCATGTTTTGGGGTTTGTGCAGGTCTTGGAATTATTTCCCACGATTTTTAAGTCATGTCTGCATAGGGCTGTAGTTTTAGGCAGAACAGTGAATAGCAGGTAGCACTGACCTGTAACAAACAGTACTTTGTAGTTTGATGAATGCGTTCCTTTGGGGGTTAGGCTGTAAGTTTTATCCAGATTCAGTTCAAATTTATCTTCCTGTAAGGTAACTAAACTACCACTTGGTTAATGTTATTATTGTTTGTTCTGTCAACTTGTAAAATTTCATTACAGTAGATATTCAAACCCAATTTCAGATTCATACAGCAAAGTAGGAACTGTCACTAATCTGAATTGCCTTCCAACAGTGGCACATGCTGACTCATTTTGTATATTTTAATGTTTATATCCCCATTTTTATAGGTTGTATTCTTCATCTAACATTGTTATAGTGATGAAATTGAGGAGAATGAGATGAGCAGGGAATGTAGCATACACGGGGAAGGTGAGAAATGGCTACAAAATTGTATCCACAAAACCTGATGGGGAGGGACCAATTGGAACATCTAGGCTTAGATGGGAGATTAATATTAAAATAGATCGTAAAGAAATAGGGTATGAGTGTGTGGACTGGATTCATCTGGCTTAGGATAAAGACCATCAGCAGACTGTTGTGAACACATGCATGAACCCTTGGATTCCATAAAAGGCCATGCATTTCTTGAGTGGTTGAGGAAATACAAGATTCTGAAGGACTCTGTTCTATGGGGATTGTACTGTGTTAAAGTGTTTCTCAGTTGTATTATGCAACTGTGTGTAAGTTAACAGGCTTTGTTTGCTTCCAATTGATTATAAATATCAACAGTTCGTCATTGGGACAGGATGAACATACGTATAACATCAACAGATGCTGGGCTGTAAGACTAGGATATTGCAGTATTAATGGAGGCTGCATATACATAATAAATAAGTGAATAAAATGAACGCAACATCATTACATATACTGATTCTTTTTTGTATCATAAGAAGCATGTGAAATTACTATGAAAAGTAGATTAGAGTGTAATGTCATGTGTTGGGTATGTCACACGACAAATAACTTCATGTGGGTCTCAGATTTAGCGAATGTTTATTGGACACTCACTCTTACACACCTTACAATTATTACCACTTACAGTATCACCTGACTTCTGGCCCAATACTCTAATACTCAACTACTATTCGAGGCCAGGCCCTTTATATAAGCCGTACGTGGACTCAGTAGAGGAAACCCCTCGCCAAGGTTCAGTCTCACGTGTTCGGCAATCTGTTGCTTTGGGAATACTCCCTATAGATTACACTGGTAACGTCTTTCGTCTCATCCGTTGTTACTCAACGACAATTCGTTGCTACGATTTGTCACTGCGGGAACTCCAGAATTTCCACGTGTTCGTTGTCGTGGAAGTGTACGTTCTGGTTGTAGCGGCGATGGATGTAAGGTAATGCGTCACAGTATTATACAGTAAGCAGTTATTTAGCCCTGTGAGATTGAGGTTCTCTTCATGATGAATATGAAGACTACTTTTTCTTGTGTTTTATATGGCGTTGTCTGGCCGTAAGGTTATTCTACCCTGAAGAGAGAGGCACTAGGTTCTCCTGTAATATTTGTACAAAGCATCACATTCCACAAGACATAGTTCTATTATGAGCTTTAATTTAGTGCTTTATATGCAGTGAAATAAATTTGAAGATACGCGAAACTGATGACAACTACCAGAAGATGTTATTCAAGGAAGCACTACGAACTGGCTTCTTTGAGCTGCAGGCCTCCAGGGATAAATACCGTGAACTGACACTAGTGGAAGGTATGCACAAGGATTTGGTGATACGGTTTATCAAGGTGCAGGCTCTGCTCTTGTCGCCAGTGTGCCCTCATGTGGCAGAGCACGTGTGGGAGCTTCTGGGAGAAGTAAGTCACAGTGATGCTGTTTGTGCATTCATGGAAATAGCAATGTATGACTTGTTATGAAATGGTAATGGATACGATTCATTTCCAGAAAAGAAGTATTCTTCATGAACAGTGGCCCATTGCTGGTCCCATTGATGAGGTACTCGTGAAATCATCATGTTACCTTATGGAAGCAGCTCACATGTTTAGAATATTTCTCAAGAATCATATGCAACCCAGAAAATCAAATAAAGTCACTGTTAGTGGTTCAGTTTCAGAGAAACCCAACCAGGCTACCATATGGGTAGCCAAGAAGTTTCCTTCCTGGCAAGCAACAGTGCTGATGACACTTAAGCAGCTTCTTGATGTAAGTTGTCTTAGTCTTATTCCTTGTGTACAGCTAAGATTAGTTGCATGAAGTGCCATTTTCATTGCTATCAGAGAAGAATTGCAAGCAGTAGTGGGAAATATAAATATGAAGATTATGTAGCTTTCATAATAACTGCATATATTTAAACATGAAGGATCTGTAATATGTAGAATAGGTTTTACTCATTCATTTTGTGTTCTGCATTTTTTCTTATCGGAGTAATAAATCCTTCCCACCAGAAACATTAAAATGACACCAAATTGTAAATATCTGAGATAGAATGGTAATAATTATAACCATCTAAATGAATTTCTTTCTTAATTTTGCTGTGTGGAAGTAATTGTATTTCACTATAACACAGTTTTCATGGCCTCAAATTCCAGACCATAGAGCTAGTGCAGGGACCCAGGGTGTGGACTCATTTGGGGCTTCCATCTGTCCTTGTCTGTTTGTGCTATTGGAATTTCATTACCAGTGTTATTTCTTGTTGCAGAAAACAGCTTATCTTCCAGACAACAAAGTAATTGCTTCAGAGCTGAGCAAGAAACCTGAACTGAAGAAATACATGAAGCGTGTAATGCCGTTTGCACAAGCAACTCGTGAGAAGATAGATACTGTTGGTGTGCAAGCCCTCAACCTTACACTTGAATTTGATGAACTGGAAGTTCTGTCAAGAAGTATTGTCTACTTAAAAAGTACTCTAGATGTACGTGTGAAACCATTGTGATTGTTTTTTTTGCAGCTGTTGCTTGTTGCAACTTGCCAAGTATGATGTATGCACAGTACTTTGTTTTCCTACTATGCATTTGGCATATGAAACAGACGTATAAGGAGACTGGGGTTTTATTAGGAATGTCACTGATTTTGTCAGGGCTGAAGTACAGGTGCCAACAGATAATTAAATATGATATTCCTATATTAATGATCTTTAGAAATCGTAACACAGTAACATTTTGCTCATAGGGTTTTGACATAATAATTAAAAAAGTGACTGTGATGACAGGAAAGAGTGGAATTGTTAGAATTACTGGCAAGAACAGAATAAAACAGCTTCTTTCTTCTGTTTGGCCCAACATACAGTTTTGAGGAGTGTAACTGTCTGGTATTTCGGTCATATTCTGTGCTGTTGAAATGAAAACTTCTTGGAAACTCTTTGATCCACGATATTCACAATCAACAGTTACCAGTAAAATACAACTTCATGGCTTTTCTGTATTCCAGATTTATGTAGTGGGGCAGTAGTGAGAATGATGCATATGCAAATTACAAAATTATTCTGTTTGTGACACAGGTTGAAAGTATAGAATTGAAGTATTCTGATTCAGCTGAAGCAACAGAAAGGATCCGTGAGGACTGTTGTCCAGGAATTCCATACATTGCTTTCACGGTTTGTCCGAGCATGTCTATGACTCTGATAAATCCTCAGCCTCAGAGTGGTCACTTCACACATGTTGTTAGTGTGAGAGATGGTGATAACGTTGCCAAATTAACCGCTCAACTTACCAGAGCTGACCAGCTTATAGGTAAAAAAGTCTAACCATGTTATTTGCTTTGTGTGAATGTACTGTGATAATTCTGAATTTGCACATGATTGATAAAGTCATCCTATTGTCTACAATTATTTGGGCATGTATAGTAATTACAGATTGAACAGTTTGGCTGTGTTGTATGAATGGAAAATGACTGCATAGAATAGCTTTAGAAATGGGAAGCCAGGGCATTCTTTTGCAAATAAAGTGGGATAAACTAGGGGTACGATGATGAAATCCTGAAACTGTTTTCTTTTGTCATGTTATGATTATGTGTAGCTCTGCATAGTGGGTCTTTTCATTGTTTCTTCCACACTTAATTTTCAGACCCAAACAGTATTCAGCTGTGGCGATATGACGATCCTGAACTTGGTCCGAGGAAGATGCCAGCCTTCAACAGTCCAACACAGGGTGTAGTACGTATTGAAGACAATGCTGTATTCTGTGTGAATGTTGCAAAGAAGAATATTGAACTTGCTGTTAATGGGACAAGATATCCAGTTGGCTCACAAATAATTTACACCGTTGAGTAATAGACAAACTGGAATGCTGTGGTATTTATTGAGGTCTCTCGTAAGTCACAGAGAAAAGTGAGACTGGCAAGAAGAGGTAAGGGAGAAAAAAAAAAAGGGCCAATTGCAATGCAGTAATTTTTAATGTGACTATTGCTACCTGCAACAGTTTGGAAGTAGCAGAGCCTTTACTGGCCATGTGATCAATCCAAACCAAGAATTTCATTCTTTCAACATTGATACAGTTACCCTTAAGTTATAAATCGTGGGCACCAGCCCTATAAAGCCAAGAGATTTAAAATTTCTATTCCTGGATGCTAAAGGTTCATGACTTGTCAACATTCTGTCAAAGTATCAGATGTTCCAGATTGTCATAAACATGCAATGCAGTAACTGTCCTGAGATGATGTGCCAATTGTTTTATCCTGTGCACAAAGACATTATACTTTCAGTTACCACCATGACTAGCTATGGTCAGGGAACTGTGTCGTGGGGACAGCAAGTACTGGAGGCTTACAAATGCCCTGCACTTTACCTCTACAGTATCAGTATACAGAAAGATCTGATAGTGCAAGATATTTAATGACTATTTATGAGCTTTTAGTTTGTATTATTGACATGTGTTGCATTTCTTTGCAAATAAATCACATGTTTAAATTTTATTCAGTGAAAAGATTATTGCATTGAACAAATGAGAATTGCAAATAAAATTAGGAAAATAATAGTTTCAGTGGTTAGATAAAAATGCTGAAATTCTCATGCTGGTGACTATGAAGAGTACCAACATTCTGGAGTAATATACTGCCTCCATCTTCAGGGTTAAGTGCAAGCATTTAGGGTAGCAACTTGCACTGTCACTCTGCTTGTTGGTGTACTCTTCAACCCTGATGATTGGAGGCAGTAAGTTTCTCAGAACTGCTGGTAAACATCTATCAGACTACACGGCGTCACATCCCAGAAGATAGTCACTGTTGTGAGAACTTCACATTTCACATTATAATCCTGTTATTTTCCTCATTTTAGTTGCATTTCTCATTTGTTGATATTGATTGACGATGAAGCAAAGAGATGTAAGAGCACATGAGGGCAAACCAAATTCACTTTATTCCTTCTCAAGTTAACTAAAGCAGACATACAGTGAAGATAGCTACAGTTAGAAATTGGAACCGTGACATCTTTTAATATATGTGCTTATTATACGAGTATTAACTCACTGACTGCCAAGACCTTCCATAAGACTGCTGCTTGGGGGCAAATGCAATTGCACAGAAATATAATTCCTCAAATTACAGCAAGGGGCAGGTAAATGTGAAAGCCTATTCTTTCCTGTGAACATCAGTATGTTACATTTGATGCCATCTACTGAGAAAAATGCTGTAGTGGTTCATAAATGAACTGATCTCTTTGATGGTGGTTTCAATGCAAGTACCCTGAGTCAATCTGACATGTGGTGTGGAAACTGTTAAAAAGAACACTTGACATACAGTCTTCACTGCAGCGTCACATAGTACATGCTTTAACATAAATTCACTGTGACGTGTTTCAGCCACAGAGGGACATCAGGAATACAGGGTGTTTCACGACTTTAGAGCATAACTGCAAGAGGTGATTTCCTAGGTCTTTGTGATCAAAAAAGTTCATATAAACACGTGTCCGATTTTGGACGGTTACGGAGTTATAACTGTTTTTTCATTCCCGCACACGCCCTTGTGTGAACCGTGTCTATCATCTGGCAGGTCGCTATTTTTAGCCAGCTACAGACGGCATTCTCGTTATCTCGACACTTGAGAGGAACCTATGGTGTGGTGGGTTGGTATGTAAGGCCACAGCTAGTGTGGTGGCTACTGGTGTTCAGAACAGTTCTCATCTCGGAGTTATAACTGTTTTTTCATTCCCGCACACACCCTTGTGTGAACCGCGTCTATCACCTGGCAGGTTGCTATTTTTAGCCAGCTACAGACAGAGCGTTCTCGTTATCTCGACACTTGAGAGGTACCTAAGGTGTGGTGGGTTGGTATGTAAGGCCACGGCTAGTGTGGCGGCTACTTGTGTTCAGAACAGTTCTCATCTTGGTGCGTCTGTTACGTTCACGATGCCATTTACATTTTCATTTGAGGAGTATGCAGATATGATTTATGTGTATGGGTTTTGTGATGGTAACTCAGTTCTTGCCGTAGCTGAATATCAGCAACGGTTTCCGAATCGTAGAGTCTTTACTGGAGTTTACCAGGCATTGTGAGATACTGGTAGACTTCCCGGCGTTCGTATTGCAGCCGAGTGTGGTGTTAATGAAGGCATCAATGAAGCTGGCATTGTTCATATGGTACACTGCAGTCCACATACGAGTATGCGAAGAATTGCCAGCCAGGTCTCCAGACTTGGGCCCACTGCATTATTGTGTGTGGGAATGGAAGAAAGAACTGGTTTACAGTGTGAAGGTGGCAACGCAAGATGCTTTGCTTGGTCGCACTGTGGACGCCGCTGACCACATAAGAAACAGCCAGCTGAAGCTGCTACGTGCTAACCGAGTGGCAGCCTGTGTTGCGGCCGGCGGTGGCATTTTCGAAAATCAGCTTTAAGCACCAATCAATTCAAATTAAAGGTAATTTCATGAAGTTAAC